CCTCTCTCTTTTTTTTTTCATTTTATTTTATTTTATTTTTCTTCATTTATCTTAAAAATTATATAATTCACATAAAATCACATAATTAGCCAAAAATTTATATTAACTAACTAGAAACTACTTTTCATAATTTAATATAAATATAAGTCTATTTATCATGTGTTAAGGCTAAAACTATATTATCAATTAATTATTAACTCATAAAAATGAAGACTTATTAATAGGTGACTTGGCATTGCTTGAGTGCTACTCTTTCCTTTCATAGAGACTTTGAATGAGAGGATAGGCTTTGACCCTACCAAATTTTGACAAGTCTTCAATGCCTTCGGTGTAGGCATCATATGGATCACATTCAAACAATAGGATATACGTATCTTACCCATCTATCATCCATTTTTACGACAACTAACTTAGTCTATTCAATTACACAATGTAAAGTCCCCCCCCCTCGCCTCTCTCTCTCTCTCTCTCTCTCTCTCTCTCTCTCGCTATTAATATTATTATGGCCAATGAGAAATGCCAACTGTTAACATGTGCACCGGTGACACCTAGGTATGCAGGGGAGTGTCAACCCTGCAGAAATGGCTCACTTTGTTTGTGATTGAGGACGATGCATGGCCCATGATGTGTCCATCCCTCTTTTTCGGATTAGAACTTGCCCGGCCAATAATCTACATGGGAGCCAGGCAATAAGATCTTGCTGCAGATATTTTACATGTGGATATGATACTACATGTATACTAACCAGTTCAATGTAGGAAGATGAAAACTGTAGGATGTTTGAACACTTGGACCCAGGCTACATCATATTTTCACTGCTGAAAATAAAATTAACGAATATTTCTATTTAACATGATTTAATTTAATCCTAAATTCGGAAAAAAGTGCAGATATATCTGGATTTATCCCAATAACTCCTTTCATACATGTACATCAGAATGCTATTAGAAAACTCATTATTGGGAACTTTTCAACATGAGGAATTTTGGACATAAGCTCAAAGTTGTTCAGGAAAATAAGTAATTAAGGTATTTTTTTATGTGTAGTTGAATAAAATTTAGAGTAATTGAACATTTATCTGCATAAAAGCCAATTTCCTACTGAAAAATATGAAAGTGGGTGGGAGCAGAAGCTGCTTAGACTGAGTGATAATGAAGGTCCAGCTCCGCTGGCCTTACGTTAGGATGGGTTCATACTCTCTCTCTTTTTATATGAGTTATATCTGTTCATATACTATATTATCTATAACTTCTTATCACATCTAATTTAATAGTTTAGTTTATAATAACATATTGTAGAAGAACTACGCACGATCTGAACACTCACACATAAATACTGACTAGAGATCGATGACCGACTTGACTCTATTACATGAGGGAATGATGATATGGTATCGAGGAGCGAAACCACTTTGTCTTAGGACCCATGAAATCCTATCATACCAATGACTTCGCATTAGGGTCCTGCATTTTTTTGTTCTTTCTGTTCTTATCCTGGGAGCGATTGGATAAACCGAGTTTGTTGTCAGCACAGTCATCGTCACTTTTACTTGCAGAAGTAAGATGATTAATACATAAGTCTCTACATTCGTGCTCTAAATGTCGTGTGTCTGTAATGTATTGGCAAAGATAGAACATTACCTGGTACTCACTATTACGAAAAATGTAAAATATAAATGTCTTTTATATAATGGTGGGCATAAAACCAAATATCTATTTGACAGCAAATTGAATAAGAAACCTTATGTATGCCGCCTCTCAGAACTACGCCATAAATCTGAGTATGATTTTGAAGACTGTCCAACCCATTTCTTCATAAATAGCTTGCATATTCTATTTATCTATGCACATCTATAGCTTCCCCAGAACAAAACCAAATCGGAGTATATGTATGCCTTACCGTGATGAGCTCGGCGTTGTTTGGATCTCCCATTGGTGCAAGTAAAATGCCTGAAACTAAGTGACACTTGGGACCATCCAATGGACGTCCCACCGATCAGATTGGCGTGGGGCGAGGAGAGGTCATAATCGCATGTGGAGGCCGTTGGGATAATATATTCCGAGATTCCGGAAGGAGACCACCCTGTTGAAAGACGAAGTCAGACGTCTCTGGGAACACCCACGTGCGCAAAGAATGATGGCAGTCACCCAAAGAAGAATTAAGATAACATAAAAATGAAAGAATTAGGTTCCACGCGCACATTTAGAGTACTCAAAAGGTAAAAGAGTAATTAAAACGTTCGTTTTTCGAGGATGTTAAATAAATTTACGTGAGCTGTCAATAACTCCTTTGCAATCTAGTTGGTAAGAATTAAAAATTCATGTTACTTGAATTTCAACTAAGCAGTGATACCCTTACAGTTTGGTTTAGACGTACAATATTATCCAATAAATGTGACAATATATCATTATACTAATAACTTACTATGTTATCCAAACATTTGGATTGGGTCTTCATTTCAACTTCATTTTAGTATTCTTTGTTACGAGAAATGGTTAAGACATGATTTTTTTTCTCTCGATAAGTACATAAATATAATTTTTTGTATACCCTTGAATTATGACTTTCAAATCTTATGGGACACATGTGTATGGCTTTGGATTTTAATGTCAACTTGTCAACTTGAACATACTGAGTCAAGCCATGTCTCAAACATTTTTCTTATCTTAATAAGGGTTTGTGTTGTAACCCGGCCTAACCCAACTTCTTTGACTCGGACAGCTATCAAACCTCAGAAAGATCAGTGGACGAGGGACTCGTGCTGACTCACATAACGAATCACGAAACGAATGTGAAGAACTTGTGATGTGCATTCTAATCCCCGAGGTTATTATTATCTCGAGATTGATGAATCTAACAATTGAAAAATAATCCCCGTTTACCAGTTTCAACTGCTCTCTATTGTTAGATTGTTTTTCTGAGCTCGAAGAAGTATATGGGAGACAGACAGGAAATAGAATGATTAATACCACAGACTGATTATGATTCAGATTACAAATTTTGAGTTTGTATAGTTTATGAAATAGTTCATGTTGTGTACTAATCTCTTCTTTCATTTATTCGACTGACACCAAGCATGTAGGTCGACCTTTCTAACTTTTGAGGCCCACAACCGCATCCGGCTGGATATTTGTTCAGAAGTTCACGATCTGTATGGAGCCCCTTTCTGTCATTCAAGGATTTACCAGCTTTGCCAAACTCGTGACCTTTATTAATACTCAATAGTCCATGACAACCCGCGTGGATCACACTCAATAGACCTCTTGGCACATCCGGCCAAATCACCGGAATATCCTTCCATCGCTCAAAATCTTTCGCCTTCATCATCAACGATCTCCACATCAGTGTTGCTTCCTGTGAATATCGATTAAATTATCATAAATCAATAGTACTGCATACTGTAGAGAAATTTGGTTCCAGTTGACGAAGAATTTTGACTCCGCTTTCAAGGAAATAGATTGTCGTCTAGCGATGTCTAAATCTTAAGAGCATCAAGCGACAAAAAATAACGTGCGAAGTAATAGCCGACGCCGTCATAATCGATGACACATCTAGAATGAAACTACTGCGATATCTCAGGAATAAATATTTACTTATTTATTTTTCAACAAGGATCACATTACAAAAGTTTCATGAACAGATCATCGAAGTACTTCGACAACCTTCTGTATAGTACGCTTGAACATTTATTCATGAAAACACAAGAAAAACAGTGCCACAAATATATAGCAACATCCGCGACAAGAGACACACGTACCGAACGCAAGACCACCAGTTAATGACGTTGCATTTCTTGCGGATCTCCCCGTTGGTTCCGGTGAGGACCTGAACCCGACCCATCTTCACCATAGCGGCCCCGAAGTTCTTCTTGAAGAGTAAGTCATTAAAGGCGTTCTTCCTCACCTGTGATGCCGTCACCGGCCTAGACATTATGGTCTGACCGGACGTGAATAACCCGCTGTTGACGAGGAGGTTCCTGCAATAGCTCGAGTCGATAATGGTAGGGCTAGGAGGATCCATATTCACTCCCAGGTTCCTATTGACGCTGTTTGGGGGGCACTTCTTCTTCAGTATGGTCGCATAGGCCGGATCCAAGCTCGGGTCAGCCTTCCCCGTGGAGGAGCAGCGGGCTTCGCCGATGGTATGTTCTCGTGATTATACAAAATAGAGGTGTTAGTGAGGACGACAATCAGGCAAGTTCTCGACATAACTTCGTTCTGGAGGAGACAACTGAGTTGGAAGAGGATAAGCTTCCGAAACTCTACCATCCCTTTTGCCGGCTGGTACATCGTAGGGAATGCCTTTGCTCTGCCCAAGGTTGTGAAAGTATGACTACCTCAAACAGTTATAGAACAAACAGACTAGTGAGTGAACGGCTCAGGAATCCTTTGCTCAAAAAGGTTACCAGTCTCTGGCGGCGAAGGCAACAATGTAGGCACACGAGATGATACCTGGGCAAACTGCCTCCAGTCTGGTTTTAGCGTTATCAACGACATCGTAGCCTTCAAGGCCGTTGTTGATTGGGAATCCTTCTCTGCGGTGCTACCTGGAGTGGAGTCGAGGACCGAGCTCTCGCAACCCTTTGACAGAACAAGGTCCCCAGGGATCGTCAAACTTAGAAGAATGAACCACTGAACGTTCTATAATAATACGATCACACGTCTCTTGCAGGCTCAATTGTTGATAATAAGCTTTGTGTGGAGTTAGAGATGGAAAAGTTACAATTGTTGAAAAGCAACCTCAATAGATTAGCAGGCAAATCCGGATGCGTCACCAAGTGCCTTCGCCACCTCCTCTCTCACGATTTTCTCCGCGTTCGGGCAAGAACTATGATAAAACCCTACTTGTAGCTGAGCTTCTGATGGGGTGGCTGAACCAAATCATGCCTCTTCTCAAGATGATGTAAGAGTCCATCCAAGATCAAGGTCAACTTCAAGTGGGGCCTCCACCAGCAACAAGAAGTCAACTCCTAAGAAGGTCAGCTAGGATTAAGGTTAACCCTAATCTTCAACTTCGTATGGGGCACGTCAACCGTAGGCTACCTTCATTGCTAGATCTCAAGTGGAACCTTGGGTTGACATCTCATGGATCCATAGGGATAAACAAGGGGGTCCATCCCATGTTGTGGGCCCATGAAGAAGAAGAGGAAGAGGAGCCAAAGGAAGAAGTTCCAATGGAGGAAAGCCCAATGGAAGAGGGCCCATCTTCCCATGGAATACCATCTAAACATTATGCATGGAATAATTTGGAACTTACCTTTCATCTAATTTCACCCTTCTCCCGTCTTCTTCTCCCTTCTTCCCCTTCTCCTCCGCCGGAACCCCTTACCCATTCTCCCGTCTTCCCCTTCTTCTCCTCCGCTAGAATCCCTGTTTCCACCACCTTACCACCGCCCGTCGCCGCCAGCTTGCTCCTCACCTTCCCCCTCGCTGCCCTCACCCTGTCCTCTGTTGGCTTCAGAAAGCCAGAAACCCCTTCAAGAATTTCCAAAAAAATAAGGAGAAACGAGATCAAGTATGAACAGAATCGTATTGACAGTAAAATCTACCGGAAAGAGTGTTTTTTATCAAACACAGCCCGCTATTTATAAAGTGGGGGGAAGTAGAAGGGAGGGAGAGAGAGTGAGAATAACTGTCGCTAGATGAGCTGGCACCGCGTCTCACGTGGCTGGTTATCCGCCGTTATAACTCCAAACGATGTGCGGCTGTGATGAAACCTGAAAAAAACCTAACGAACTCAAAAATAGAAATACGCCCAAATTGGCTTCACGGGTGAGTTCGCCAGAGACGGTGAACCACGGCGAGCCACAGCGGAACTAGAGCTAAGCCTTCAATCTCTTCCTTGCTCCTGCTCCTCCGTGCGAATGTTCCGAACGCTCATCTGCCATCGTATCTCCACGAATTTCTGCCTTCCAAGTGACTTTGTGAGGATATCGGCCAGCTGGTCCTCCGTCTTCGCATAATCTATCGAGATCTTCTTCTCCTCCACACACTGACGAATAAAGTAATACCTTGTATCAATGTGCTTTGTAGAATTACGATGCACTTGATTCTTGCTTAGGATGATGGTGGATTTGTTATCCACAAGCAATTTTATCGTCCTCTATTCTTCTCCTCTTAATTCACTGATGAGACAATTTAGCCACACATCCTGACATGCGGCAATAGTGGCAGCAATATACTCCGCCTCGCACGAAGAGAAAGCCACTGTCTTCTGCTTCTGAGAGGCCCAACAGATCAACATTTCGTCGAGGAAGAAAGCTTGTCTTGAGATGCTGTTTCAGTCACCCACATCTCCAACAAAGTTGCTATCAATATAGCCGACTAAAGTTGCTTCGGTCTGACCTTTCTCATAGACTAATCCATAATCAATTGTACTTTTACATATCTTAGAATGTGCTTGGTCACTGAGAGGTGTCCTGAAGTCGGATGCTTCATAAACCTGCTCAGTAATCCCACAGAGAAAGTTAGATTAAGGCGAGTGTGAGTCAAATATCTTAAGCTTCTGATGAGGCCTCAGAAGTAAGTGGAGTCAACTGAAGATCCTGAATTTTGTTGACTGAGTTTGACTCTTGCTTCAAGAGGAGCATGAACTAGATTGCACTCCCTCATTCTTGCAAGATCTAGTATATTCAGTGCATAGGCTCTCTGTGACAGGGGGATTCTAGCTCCTCCTTGTGCCACTTCAATGCCCAAATAAGAGCAAAGTTGTCCGAGATCACTTATCTCGAAAAAATACATCATTTCATATATGAATTCATTAATGTCACTATCATTTTCACTTGTGACTAGTAGATCATCCACATAAACTCCAATAATCAAGTGTGATTTATCAGACCACTTCAAACAAACTACTTGCTCATTTTTACTCCTTGAGAATCCGAGTGAGACTAGGCATTTGGGAAGCTTGAAATACCATGCTCGTGGAGCTTGCTTAAGTCCATAAAGGGCTTTCTTCAACTTCAAAACAAAGCTCTCTCCATCCTTTACGACAAAACCTTCCGGTTGCATTTAGAAAGTCAGACTTTACATCGAGATGATGCAGCAACTATGTCTTCTAAGCTGCAATGGTAATAAGAGCACGAATAGACTCAAATCAAACCACAGGAGCAAATACCTCATCATAGTCGATTCCTTGCCTTTGGGATTACCCCTTCACAACCAATCTCACCTTATGCTTCACAATGTCTCCCTTGGCATTTCTCTTGACCCTAAAGATCCATTTCAATCCTATGAGCTTGCAATTGGTCAGAGGACTCACCAGCTCCAATATTTGACTTCAGTCAATGGCTTCCATTTCTTCTTTTATAGCACTCCTCCATACTTCTTCTCGTGTTACTTCACTGTAGGAGATAGGCTCTTCATGTGAGAGTAAACAATTAGAATCCTCCGAGGACATGAGACATGTCTCAGAGTAGATTTGATCAAGTGACTTGAATCTCACGGGCTGACTATTTTCAAATGCAAAGTGTGAGACAAAGGGTCTTCTTGAGACTCATAAGTCTCGACTTCATCACTTTCGTTAATAGATGCATCCTCTGCTCCATAATTAGCAAGAAAATCAAGGAAAAAAGTAAGTTTAGAATCACTCTCACCTCCCTTTTTCCAATTCCACTTGTTGTCTTCTTCAAAGATAACATACTAGCTGATGTTAACTTTGGTGTTGACATGGTCATAGCATATGCACCCCTTTGTGCCCACTTCATACTGAATGAATGTCATTGGTTAATTATGGTCATCCAATTTCCTATGTGGTCCTTTAGTGCATTTCACATGCACAATGGAGCCAAATATTCGAAGATGATCAATTATTGGCTTTCTCCCGATTCACAGCTCATATGGTGTCAACCTCAGCAAACTTTTAGTGGAAGACTAATTTAAGAGATATACCGAGGTATTCACTATCTCTCCCCACAATTCAGAAGACATTTCCTTCTCTTTTAGTATGCTCCTAACCATGGACATGATTGTCCAGTTCTTTCTTTCTGTTATATCATTCTGTTGAGGAAAGTAAGGAGTAGTCAATTGCCTTTTAATTTTCTATGAAACATAAAACTCAGTGAATTCGTCAGAAGAAAACTCCCCTCCTCTGTCTGATCGAAGACACTTGATTTTTGTATTCTTCTCTCCCTCAGCCAAAGCCTTAAACTCCTTGAATTCACCGAAGGCTTCAGATTTATGCTTGAGCATAGCTACCTACATTAGTCGTGATAAGTCATCAACTATAAGAAGGAAATACTTACTTCCTCCTAATGTGGGTGGGCTAATCGGGCCACAGATGTCAGCATAAACAATCTCAAGAGGCTCTGAAGCTCGGAATTGAGAGGCTTTTGGGAATGGAGTGTGATGTTGCTTGCCTGCAAGATAGCTCCGACACAAATGATTGGTACCTTGATCAGTGGAAGTCCCTCCACTAAATGCTTGCACAACATTTTCTTGAGTGAGTGAAAATTTAACTAGCCAAATCGAGAATGCCACAACCAACTTGAATTTTCTTCTCCTTTTGTGATCAGACAATGATTTATGATATTGAGCTTGAGCAAGTCTTCCGTCTGTTTTGTGGACTTCAGCTAACAGAGCTCCATTTCAGTCGAAGATGGTCTAGCGGCCTCCAAATATGACCATCCAGCAACCTTCCTCATTGAGTCTGCCTAAGTTGAGAATGTTAGCACACAATTTAGGAACAAAAAGCACATTATCAAATGTAAGTGTTTCTCCATCCTACCGATGAACAAGCACATTCCAGAGGGTGTTTTATCTAGATCCAAAAAACAATTTCTTCTCTCGGACATGTGATTCGTTGTGCCAGTATTAAGATACCATAAATCTGTCTTCATGTGATCAGTCTTGAAGCCTTGTAATAGAAATCATTGTGTTCTTCCACAATTGCTATCAATAGTGACAACTCAACCAGTTTCTCGGAGGACTCTGCCACATAAGCTTGATCAGGCTTCTCCTTTTTCACACTTCAACATTCATAAGTGAAGTGTCCAAATTTCTCACAATTGTAGCATTGAATTTGAGACTTATCGAAATGTTTCCTTGTGTCAATAGAAAGTGGATGTTGGCTGCGGCCATGGCCTCTACCTCTTCCTCTACTGCAGCCACAATGTCTACCTCTTCCGCGAGATGAGGACTCCTCCTCACTCAGAAATTTGGCTTTACTCAACACTCTGGCTAGCAATGCTTGCTTTTCCTCCTGTGACTCTCGCTCCTTGAGCCGCAACTCATGAATGGTCAGAGAGCCAATGGCTTCGTCGAGGCTGATTTTGTCTAAATCAACATATTGCTCCATAGATAAAGTAAGAGCGTCGAATTTTGAAGGCATCGCCTGCAAAAATCGCCACACTACCTTTCTTTCTTCCATCGTCTCTCCCAAATTACGTAAATCCAAGATAATGTGTGTGAATGTTATTGCAAAATCCACTACTACTTCTTTCTTGTGCATCTTGAAAATTTCGTAGTCACACTTCAGGCCTTGGATTCGTGATTTAATCACTCTGTCCACGCCAAGATTCTACGATCGGAGAATCTTCTAGTTCTCCTTCGATGTCTTCTTTGCATCAAGAACAGTCATCATCTCCTTCAGAATTGCACTGAAGATTGCCAACAACGCTAGTCGATCCTTCTTCTTGATTCTCACCGACTATCACCTGCCATAAGTCATGAGAATCAAGATATACCTTCATATTCATCGCCCAGACAAGGTAGTTCATCTTCGAGAGCTTGAGGGATGGCGTCGACGACACCAACTCTCCTCCACGCCCGCCAGAAGTGCTTGCCTCACCTCCCTTCTTTGTCATCTTCTTGATTCCGTGAACAGAATCGTATTGACAGTAAAATCTACCGAAGAGAATTTTTTATCAAACACATAGCCCGCTATTTATAATGGGGGGGCCAGTAGAAGGGAGAGAGAGAGTGAGAATAACTGTCGCTAGATGAGCTGGCACCGCGTCTCACATGGCCAGTTATCCGCCGTTATAAGTCCAAGCGATGTGCGGCTGTAATTAAACCTGAAAAGAAACCTAACGAATTCAAAAATAGAAATACGCCCAAATTGGCTTCGGGGGTGAGTTCGCCGGAGACGGTGAACCACGGCGAGCCACGGCGGAGCTGGAGCTAAGCCTTCATCCTCCTCGCCGTCCACCCCGACGTTACCTTTCCGCCTCCTCGCCGTCCACCCTGACTTCGCCTTTCCGCCTCCTCGCCGTCCAACTTGCCACCACCATTCCGCCTTGACGCCGTCCGCCCCGTCGTTCCCGTTCCCACCTTCTCGCCGCCGCCCGTCGCTGCCTTTCTGCCTCCTCCTCGTCCGCCTCGCCACCCGTTCTGCCTCGTCACTGTCCGCCTCGTCGCCACCTTCCGCTTCCTCGTTGACAACCCGTCGCCCCCTTTTCTCTCTCTTCCGCCGTCAACACGAGAGCCATCTCTTTTCTCTCTCCCGCTGGCGCCTCGTTTCGCCCCTTTTCTCTCTCTCCCGCCATCAGCACGAGACCTACCTTTTTTCTCCTCTCTCGTTGACGCCCCTCATTTCGCCCCCCTTTTCCCTCTTTTCTGACGTCGGCACGATAACCACCTTTTTTCTCTCTCCCCCGTTGACAGTACCTCATCTCGCCTCTCTGTCTCTCGTTTTCTCTCTCTCTCTCTCTCTCTCTCTCTCTCTCATTCGTCCTCCTCTCTCTCGCCTCCTCTCCCTCTCAATTTTCCATCTCTCCCTTACTCGTTCATTCTCTCCTTCTCACTTCCGTTCTCTCCCGTCCTCTTTCCCTTGTAATCTCTTCATTGATCTTAACTCCTTCCCCTTTCTTTCCATCTTCCACTGAATTCCCTCTCTTTCTCCTCTTCAGATCTAGGAGAGTCTTCTTTATTCTTTTCCTCCCTGTTTCCCTTCCATTCATCATTTTCTCAAAGCGTAGAACTCCTCAGGAGGATCAAACCAACTATTCTAGGAATCATTAAGAGTTTTCAAGTCTTCCAACAAGGTATCTTTACTTCTAAATTATTGTGGTGACAGATCAAAGTTTATAACTCTCTTGCTTTAGAAGTGAGTATCCATAGGATAGCCACTAAATCCTAAAGTTCGGTGATCCATTCCCCTGGAAGAAGTCTTCTCTAATTCATTGAAAGAATAACCCTAATTAAGGTAGTTAAATCAAACCTAGTTTTCCTTAATTATGGGATTAAGCTTAGAGACTTAAGCCCCACTTTGAAAGTCTTAAAGCCCCTTATTTACAAACCTTAATTTGATGTACCTCAATTCAAAAGGATAATCTGAATTCCTAAATTTGTCCCGCATCAGCTTCAAGCTGGGTTACACACAGGTCCAGTACAATTGTCAACAAAAGAGCCACCGCTTCTCTAAAACCCATTTTCTCTTCCTAGAAAATGAACCTCTCCACACGCCGACCACTCAGCTTGAAATCTGTGGAGTTCTCAAAGCTTTGATCGCGCACTACGATGAGGGGTCATCCCTCCATTTTAAAGGCGTGGTATTCCTCTTATTCCCACGTTTTTTCTCCTTATTTAACACCGCTTCGAACACAACTCATTCACCATTTTGTAAAGTAAGAGCCGTTAGCTGTATGGCGTTTCAGAGGGAAGGATGTCGAGGGGTGGGGGGGGGATGTGGCGTATTTCTAGTCTATTTCAATTCAAATAGGCAGCCGTTGTTCAATTCAAAGAGAGGGTGCAACATCGCCATGCATGAGGTCACTGTTTGGGAAATCATCCTTTGAAATCCGACTGGCGTGTGGTAGGAACTCCCAGTTTGCCGTGAGGGGATCTCAGCCGCGTGGAAAGTTTCAATCTGGGAACCGATCGACTAAATGTCTACGATCTGCAGAAGTCGGCACATAAACACCGACTCATCAAGTGGCACAAGTGCGCGAATGATCTTTCTCCTCACAGTTCTGGTTATCTCTTGTAGCATATTTCTAGTCTATTTTAATTCAAATAGGCAGTCCTTGTCCATGGAGATGAGGCCTCCCCAGAAAGGCGGTGCAACGTCGCCATAGGCTTAACCAATGGAGGTTGCTGTATTGGGACATCATCCTTTGAAAACCGACTGGCGTGTAGCAGGAGATTCCTAGTTTGCCGAGAGGGGATCTCAGCCGCATGGAAAGTTTCAAACAGGGAACCGATCGACTAAATGTCAACGATCTGCAGAAGCTGACACGTTAAACACCGACTCATCAAGTGGCACAAGTGCGCGGCATTATCTTTCTCATCACATCTTGCAAATCATTCTCATATTCTTAAACCACAAATAGATACTTCCATGAGATGTAAACCAAATGAATAAATAATCCAAATAACTCATGGTAGACATTACACAATTTGCGTGCCACCATAGAGATGTAAAACATTTATGTTTGACTTTTATGAATAAAATTTCTGAAATATCACTAAAAATGAATATATCTTTGACATAAATTCAGTACATATCTTGTATTCTAGTGACATTTTGCAAGGAAAACGGGGAAATGTATATCATGTTCATAGTTGAGCCATATACTTTAGCATTTTCAAGTCCTCATTTGTATCTGAACATTCGTTTGACAAGGTACCCTTATAACTATTTCTAGAGTCATGTAAGTGGAGTTTAAGATATTAAATCAATGTTCTTTTTTTCTAACGTACTCATATTCTTGATACTACAAGTCTCCATTCACAACATTACGAAGAAACTTAAAATATAATTTTATTTATGCTAACTTAAATGAAATTTAAATAGAGAACATCTAATATACTATAACATGTGAGGAAATGAGTAAAATAAGCCATCAAAAAACCAATTTTATGTAAGGAAAAGTCTGAACCATTTGAGAATTGAATATTTTGCACTAGTATCACATGAACATATATTTCAAAGAACCTTTCCAATTTTTTGAGTATGATCACCTATTCATTAATCTTACATCTAATTGAAATGAATTACACCTTGCATTGGATTAAAGCAAGGACAAAAATTTAAACCAGTTAACTAAAAGTAACAATGTATTTCACCACGAGTAGATTAGGAATTTTATCTATTCTATAGAATGCACTAATATGATTGATAATTGAATATCTCACTTTATATTCAGTGAAATTTATTAATATTTTGATTTTCTAGTATAAAAATAAATCAATTTTAAAGAAGTTTCTTTGAAATAAATATGGAGGGATTTTGAGGGAGAATCAATCTCTATATATATGCATAATATGGTCAATAGTAGAGCACTACATAAAAAGTAGAGTTCCATCACAAAATTCCTCACCACGTAATCAAGAGATTGAGTTCAACCTAAGAACCTAGGCCTGTTCAATAGAAGAAGATATCAACAGCCAAAGACTCAGGTTTATGTCACAACTTATGTGGTTGAGAAAACCGTCCTCTGTAATCAGGGCAAGATTCATGATTAAAATCAAAAATAGGAAAAGTAAAAGAGAATTTGAAAAACAGCAAAAGTGGCTTTGACAACCTTTTTTTCTCAGTTATTGTAGTAAGATAAAACAATACACAATCTTATGCATAAAAATAGTAAAAATAATGAAACTGGTACTAGAATCATTTATCCAAGAGTATCACGCTAATTAAGCGAGTGTATGCATTTATTGATGATTGGGGATGTCAATGGGCAGTAACAAATCCAGTCTAACATTCATATTTTTAGTCTAAACTTGCTTATCTACCTAATGAGCCATTTTTAGTGATGCTTCAGTGTCAAGCTCTTGACCTAAGAAACAAGATCTCTACTGACTGATTTATCAGGGAATTATTATTCTGAGTTTCATTTGTCATTAGGTAGTTTTAAATAGAGCGTCGGTCCTCAAACAACCTTTAAAATTCTAGTTTTGTGATGATCAAGGCCCGTTTTGGTGCCCTGGAACAGAAGATTGTACTGAGACTGTTGGGCTTATTGAGGCCTATTGAGCCCATACAATAAATTCTGTTAATTACGAAAACTCGACGTGTTCTGAAAACGTGGGAATAATGGGATTTAATCATGAAATGACCTTGCAAGAGGGTAAGTATTATCTGCATATTATCCTGACCTTAGTCACAATCCGTTTGAAAAAAATATATAAACCAGAGTACCCTTTAAAAATAATGGTAAATTGTTACACGAAAATTTTGGTGCTTTTGTTAACTGTATCGTTTATCATCATAGTTTTGAAACGGAGGGAAACCACTTCCAAGGGCCCCCAACCCCTGTTTGGTCCATTGGACTAGTCTGCGTGTGCCCAGCCCGAACGTGAACGCGCCGAATCCACCTCAGATCAAGGTGAGTCCGAATCCAGGCCACTTTTACAAACTCTTGGTCAGGACCCCGACTCCATTAAAATAAAGGGGCAAAAGGGTCATTTGCCTATACTTGCGTCCCATGTATTTGCAACTACAGTTCGTAGCTGCATGGCCATAGTTGTCGGAACTAAATCATGTTCACTCCTACATTTGGAGGGCATTTATTTTCTGACATAATAGACGAGAGGGAGTTTAGCCTTACTGGTCTAGTTCATGGGGTCGAAAACCAAAAGTCACCCACTAATTAGCATTAATCAACACTGATTGACCATTCAGGATTTTCCAAGCCCCGCTAAAAGAACTTACGGACAGCATGTGCTGCAAGCAATCGTTTTGACATCATCTTGCCGCATGGTCTGCTATTCAATGCGCTTTTATTAGAAGACAAGTATTGTCCGTGTTCTTTCTATGTGCTTACGTTTCACCAACAAGTTGACTGTATTCACTAAGGTAGCGTAGATCGTCTGTCGGTGATGTTAGAATAGAGCCTATGTTGGCGAAGGCACGTGTAGTACCTAATGTCGGTGATGTTAGAATCTCCAGGGACTGAAGATTTGAGTTTCCTGACTGACATGCCAGTCATTTACAATAATTTCATGATTTCGAATGTCCATTGGTATCTGAATCTCGTAGGATGCATGGATTTAAGCACAATCCAATCTTCTGTCGGTCGATTACGAATCCGAATTATTTAACTCCTCTACTCAACCTTTATTTTCTGTAGAACCCGCTGATATATAATCCTCAACCCTCGAATTTAACTATTCTGGCAGATAAGGCCCACCATGATAATGGCCTTAGAGCCTGTGCTCTCATTTTAATGATTCCCATACTTGCTATGTTTTTCTTTAGAACTTAGAGATCTTAACATTTATTCCCGCCCACCAAAGCCATACGCATCACTTCTTGGATTGGTGGAACCTAGTAAGGATAATAATTTTTTATTCGTGGCTGAAGTAACATGATTTGGCGTATATCGGATTTCAGTCAGATTGACATAGTCAACAACTATCCCTCTTAAATTGTTTTGGAACAAGAGAAGATTACTAACGACAGTTTGTCACTGGCTTGTGTCCACGGTCAGATGGTAATGAGGTTTTCAGCCGGATCAACAGCATTCTATCGCGACGATGAGGAGGTTCTTCTGTCTCGTTGACACCCAGAGGCATTATTGGATGGTGGAATGGAGCTCTCAAAGTTTTGCATATATCCGCGTGCCAACTAATCATAGTAGACATATCAAAAGCTACAGCAAAACTGCTCAAAGACATCGTCGCAAGATAACGAAGCGGTTGAGAAGTCAATTCGAGATGGGTCTTGTGTCGGTGAGAAATTTGCGGAAGTTCCCCGGGGGATCTGGTTTTCCATTCTTGGACAAGAACAGCGACTGACAATAACTCCGTGGGGCCGATAAGAGTTGCTTGCTAACTCTTTTCTTCTAATCGCGTGGTAAGAGACCATCAATACCGTCCGGGATGAGAGAGTTGCCATTCTACTCACATCTGCTCCTTGTCCGAGTTACAATTCGCTACGACCGGAGTTTTCTTTTAGTACAAATGTATATAGCACCATTGGTAACAGGAGACAAACGGATTCAGATTAAAACCATTGAAGATAGGAAAAGCGGAAACAAATACTAAAGATGTCAGAAGAAAATCCGCGATCGTCGTGCCAATCATCAAGTTGCCGTCACGTCAAAGCGTGACAGACACGCGTCTCTTTTAGGAAGAGCACATCATTGTAAACACCGTTGAACAGCTCCCTACGTTTCAGCTTTTCAAACACAAAAGGCACCCATACTCATCAATCTATTAGTCAAATCAAACGGCCCGAAAGATTAACAGAGTGCTCACTTGAAGAAGTTCAACGCACATCCCACTTGGGGGTTCCGGTGGGTTGTCTGATCCGCAAGAATCTCAGCGATGTCATAAACAAGCTCCTCTCGACATCCAATTGATAATTGCGGAACGACCGTGTGTTGAAGTAACTATCATCATCATATTCTTTAGAACCAAATACTTCTGTTTGAGACGACTTGGTCGCTGGTCAGCACGGAGTGCCGTCACCGTCAGGACGAGCTGTCGAGGTCTATATTCAAGGAAACCACCCTCATTCAACCTCAACCTAATACCTCCTCACGATACGCTAGTACCCAACCTCCACGACCCTTATCTGCCCCACAGTAATCCACTTAAATGGATAACCAATAATTCCGAATAAAATACTAGAGGGCTATGGATCCCGTGCTTATAAAACACCACACTGCAGCAGAGGGTATTAGAGATTGAGTGATCATGGGGTCGAGAATAAGAGGGGAGATAATGTTCCTGGCCCTGGTGCTTGGCATGTATCTCAGTGCTACGGCAGAAGCTACGCTTCGAGTCGGGTATTACGAGAAAACATGTCCGCATGCAGAGTTCATCGTGAAGAAGGTTATAACGAAGGCGGTGAAGAAGGACAGTGGTCTGCCTGCCGATTTCATCAGAATGCATTTCCACGACTGTTTCGTGAGGGTGAGTTACGTAGCTACTTACGCCGATATTTACATGCCTCTCGTCGAGAAGAGGACTGTGTTCGATTAACGTAGCTCGTCAACGCCAGTTTATCTTCTTTCCTTCTGATGTCTTTAGGGTTGCGACGGATCAATTCTTATTAACTCCACCTCGAACAACGTCGCCGAGAAGGACTCACCCATCAACAACCCAAGCCTGGAAGGGTTCGATATCATCGACGAGGCTAAGGCCAAGCTGGAGAAGAAGTGCAAGGGTGTCGTGTCCTGCGCCGACATCATCGCTTTTGCTGCCAGAGATAGTGTTGAGCTGGTAGAATCAAGATACTAATATTATTGACTAGATCGTATCACTTGCGAACACAAGACTTGATGTCCCTGTGGATAGGCATGACTTATCGGCTGACTTTCTTCCTGACTGCAGAGCGGAGGATTTGCGTACGAAGTCCCCTCAGGAAGGAGGGACGGGAGGATCTCCCGTAGTTCGGAGACGTTTGGAAACTTGGCGCCTCCGACGTTCAATTTATCACAGCTCACACAGAACTTTGCCAGCAAGGGTCTGAATCTGGACGACTTGGTCACCCTCTCTGGTATGAAGCATATAAACGTTTAAAGGGATCTGTCAGTCCTTCGATTTTATTTTCTCATGCGGAACTATTCTTGCGATTTTAGGGGCACACACCATCGGCAAGTCTCATTGCACCAGCATCGACAGCCGGCTGCACAACTTCAGCTCGACAGCCACCACCGATCCAAGCTTGGATCCGGCTTACGCGAAGAAACTGAAGAAGAAGTGTCCCAAAGGGAGCACCGACCCGAACCTGACAGTCCCGATGGACCCTCCCAGTCCCCAGGTCTTCGACTCCAGCTACTACAAGAACATCCTTGTCCACAAGGGACTTTTCCATTCAGACCAGTCGCTCCTGTCGAGTTCCAAGACCGCTAATCTAGTGAAGCAGAACGCGGCCAACGAGTACCTCTTCAAGAAGAGATTTGCTGAGGCTATGGTGAAGATGGGCAATATCGAAGTGCTCACCGGGAAAAAGGGAGAGATAAGGTTGAACTGTGGGGTGATCAATTGAACCACCTTTGGATTGTTCTAAGTCTTAATATAAATGTCATGTCAAGTCCTAAATAAAAGCTAATAACCCACAAGGGCAACCAATGGTAAATATCAAGGCGCAAGCATAGGAAGCGTCAAGTTTTCTTGAAACTTCAGTGTAGTGAAAATATATTGTTTCTTAATGAAATATTCCAGCTTTTGTGCCTAGATCTTCCAGGAACTCCTTGAGTAATCCAAGTGCAGTCCCGTATCAGTGCCACTCAACTGAGGATGTTCTGATCGTGGAACGTTAATCTTCCTCACTGAAGCAACGACTCCAACAGTATAATATGAAAGAGGGAATCGCACTGTTTGAAATGCAGGACTTCTTGTTTCACGGAAGTGAGCAAAGTCACCGGATCGACTGATTGAAGATTTGTATCATTTGTGGCGGTAAAATAATAAGATGTTCGATGAAGATCTTGGAAGTGTTTCGATATTTGATTAAGAGGACTGGAGTCGATAAATTTAGTGTGGTGGTCCACTGTCGGCCCATGAGCGTTTCTCATGGGTAAATACATTCTTTGTAGCCACGTTGTGACAAGTCGAATGAAAATGGTGGGTGCAACAAGTGTGACCCCCCCACGACCACGCTCGTCTATCCGTTGATTGTTCATCCTCTCTACTCCCCTGACGAAGCGATCTATCTCCTTTAATTAACGCCTCTACTCGTTGTACACTAAATTAGCTCTCCAACTAGGGAGTGAGCCTCTCTTCTTTCTGCTTATGCAATCTAAAATCTGGACTTGTTCTCACTTGCGATTTGAGGCGCTTATCGACTTCTCTGCCACAGTGGACATCTGTTTATGCAAAAAAGTTGAAATGTCATTCTTTTATATTAGTTGTACCAAATTGGAAAGCAGCTCAAAAAGTAATTTAATAGGGTCTGACCATCGATGCATTTAACCACGTAACCAGAACATTTTCCGAAGGCAGAGTTTTTTCTTCAAAAATTCGCGAAAAGAGGATGAGTGATTAGAAACAGGAACGATATCCTTATTCCAGCATGCCGAAATGCGGTCACCACCCATAAATGAAGCTTGAGGGTAAGGTCTGAGAGAGAGTTACTGACGAAACGACGAAGTCACATTCATTCCGATGCATGAAGTTAAAAAAAGGTCCAGCGTCACCATCTCCCCCAACCCCATCGTTCTTTGGATACAAGGGATACCCTCGAAATTTCTTTGCTTTGACCATAAAATGTGGCTCGAGCGTTAGGCCCACACGACAGCCACCTTTTAGATACTGACTAACTACTTCATTGACCCAAATGAAGTAATTCGCGGTGGTGGGGAGAGGTTGGGATGAGAGGGGAGAAGTTGGGGTTGGAGTGGAGAAGGTGAGCTGCTCCGTGGAATCATAATAAAAGAAAGTTCTGAGAAATCACATCAAATGTGACGTTGACCGTAGCGCGACGAGGTGACAAGAGTATCATTGAATCGTTCTCTTATGTTCTCGTTGACCTCGATACATCACCTGCTCTCATGTGCCCGTAGGCAGAGGGTAGTGTAATTCGTGGTAAGAACTGCACCACAGGGTTCAGCCGGAGAATGGCATATTCCCTAATGAATCCTTGTAGAGGGGTACCGCCATTGAAGATAGGCCTGAATCGCTTCAAAAACTGTAGGCACAAGGAAGATTCCGAGAGTGTACACGGGGCCCGGGTATATATTCACCGCGGGATGCTGATCCGTCTTTTCATTTTGTGAAGTTGGAAATCCGGAAAACGCCACGTGTAGGGCAAACAAACGTTGCCCGTACCATTATTCCGGTAAAGTAGGAAGCAACCGACAAGTAACCAGATGAACTGTTTCCTTTCCTTTCATAAGACGGGGAATCCGAAAAACCCTCCCCACATACTTTTCATTGGAGTGAACCAGACTAAATGAATTTTGAGATTTGAAAGTTTCACAAGATCCATATGAACAGATAAAATTGGGACAGACTTGGAATTGTACCCATTTGATCGTGGCCTTGCCAATCATGTGCCTAGCTCCCTCAGACCGGGTAACTCCTCCAAGAGTTGTAATTCGATCATGACATGAAGCATATCATGTCATCCAAGGATTATGTCAACTTTGAACAACTAAACTGTGTCAAAGTCATGTCTGAAACAAGCGAACGATATAGGTAATTTCTCAGTTGCTTGATACCTAATTCCATGCGAACAAGTAGAGACAATGCATCTAGTGGTATACTAAGTTGGTGATATCTTCCTGATATATAGAAGGTACGCTTATACTCAAAAAATGAGTTTCAGAGAAAGTCACGGAGATTTCTGTGAGTTTTGATTCTTACTTGTCAAACTCACCACCGGGAAATTCTTTCATGATTTTCTACATTACATTTTTATTCTAGATAAAAACTTTTCCAGTGAATGACTACTTAACCAATTTTTATTAATATCCCAATTCATCTCTTACTGAAATACTTCATGTTCTAGTTGAATACCTTGTGTTATTATCTCGCCATTTTCATGTAGTTTTACGGGTTTGATTACATGACGTAAGTTTTCTTATATATTGAATACATGCTAACGTTAGTCGAGATAACTCGATTTACTGCTACTTTTTACGTTTAAATTTGAATATTCGCTTACCATTCGACCATTGAATAATGTTAATTTTATATTACGCATGATTCCATGATATCAAGTTTTATCTGCGTTCTGATCGCTAATATGAAATCCAGAGCCGACCGTTTCCAGATGAACATTAGGTGAAAAAAATATGTGAAAATTTCTAAGTTTAGGGAGAAAATATATGAACTGAAAGTGGCCATCAACCATAAGAACTGCCCATTTTCAATCGACTGATGACCCCCCGGCAATTCCTCCGGATTTCTCCGCTCGTCCCGGCTTTACCAGGGCTGCCGTGGGCCTGCGGCGGAAGAGATAAGGCTGTGGCGATGTTCTCCCTCGTTGGTCTTCCTCTTGCCACATCCCAAAGGAGAGCCTACCTGATCAGACATGAAGAGGCAGTGGTCGGCCAGGACGTCGCCGCAGCAGCCAGCGCGGAAGAAGTTCAACGGCGAGGACCCAATGACTCTGCCGTACCGCTTCAGTATAAAGGGTTCGGGGTCAAATCTGTGCTCCGTCCAGATGGTCAGCCTGATATCGTGGTGAAGTTAGTTTCGGCCGTCGTACTCTGATCGACATGATGCAATAAATGGCTCTGAGTTGTCTAAACGAGAGCTGTCAGAAGTTGTTGTGGAAGGTCCGAGGGAGAGATCAGGGGGCCCACGTTCGGTTGTCGGCTGGAGTGATATCCTCTCTCTTTCCTTCGAGGATAGCAATAAAAACAAACGTGCAGAGATGAACAAAGGCGCGCCACGGCGAAAAGAGTTATTGTACTAAAGTTAATCAAATTGACCCAAAAAAGGCATGACCTTGTTTGGTTTTTATTTTATTTTCTTATGATAAGATCGTGAGAGACATCGTCTTCAGTGGACCCCACGTTATCTCTCTATCGCTCTCGGATGGCAATAAAAAAGCAAACGTGCAGAGATGAACAGTCGCGCCACGGCGAAAGAGTAAGTGAGAGAGACGAGACCCTCACGTTCTCTGTCTCTCTCTTGGAGAGCAATAAAAGCAGATGTGAAGAGACGAACAAGGGCCCACGGAGAAGGAGAGAGAGACCGGCTTCACGATACCCCACGTTATCTCCCTCTCTCGACGGACAGAAATAAAAAAAGATGAACAGTTCGGCTACGGCGAAAGAATGGGAACCGAGTAGTTAGTCAAGTATGGAGAGAAGGGGGGGCAAGCGTTTGTCAAGTAGTTCGAGAAGAACAGTGGCGGCGGAATCCTTGGCCTTCTTCACACTAGGCATGGACTCTCCGGCGCACTCGTCCGTCCAACAAAGGTCTGAGGTGTTCATGCGGACTATATAGACGAACCTCTTGGCGTACTCGGAACCTCTTCCCACCCTCCACCTTCCAGCTGGTCTTGACCTTCTCCATCAATACCACCAGCGTGTCCGGACAGCCAGTTTCTGGGCCATCTGCGGGTGGTTCTGGGCCACGCCGATCTGTACTCCGTCCACGAAGACCTCGACGGTGGCCACATTGCCCGCGCGGATGGCCATGTACTCCAGCCCCTCCTCCTGCCGCTGGTACCGCTCTTGGAGCTCCCGCACCGGGTGCATCGGGAGGGTCTCTGTGGCCACCATAGGATGCAGCAGGAGCTGAACCCCTGCAACTCGGGTTGCAGCGAACCAAGAAACCTTAATAAACTAAATGGATCAAGAAGACGAGCAGGGATGTGCATTGGAGAGGAGGGAGGGGGGATAGAGAGGAGAGGAGAGCAGATCTGAGGCTTGCCTTCCACACAGGAGACGGCTCACATCCATTGTCAAAGAAGATGGCACCGGCGACGGACTCTAGGATGTCTGGTGCGTGCCCTCACTCGGACCGACGAGGGGAAGGAAATAGAAAAATAAACTCAGCAGTCTCTATTCGCAGTCTCTCCAAACTGAGGCTACAGAACCTGCAGAGGACTCGAATAACTCGGAAGTTTGAGAAGACAGGGTAAACAAGGGGGTAACAGGGGGAGAATAACAGGGAAATTGGGGGAAGATAGCAGAGGGAACCGCTCAGAGACCCTCTCCTCTCTACAAGCGGAAGACTGAAATCTTCTTCCGTTCACTAACAGTTCGACGGCCTTCCTGCGGCCATTAGGCCTCTGTCCGCGTCTCTGTCCCTTAATGCCTCTGATTCGTCGGTTTCATGCCATCCGTCCGGCTCTGCCTGAGCTTGAACCGGGTCTGGGCCTCCGTTACCGACCCGGCCCACCAAACGACTGTTGGGAAGCTGGCGGCCAAGGTCTCAACATTACTCCCCCATGAGTCTCACCTTGTCCTCAAGGTGGACGCAAGGGTCGTGACGGTGAATGTCATGTGCCAACTACCAAGTTGCCTCTGCCGTTTATGGTGCGGTCCACTGGTGATCTTTGTCTAGCGGTAATAGGCTTATTGAGCTTGGGAGGGCATTAGGAATGGCCCACTTTAACTGGGAGATGTGGAAGACTGAATGGAAGAACATTGGTACCAGCTTCTCATATGGACGCCAGGCAAGTGATACTTACCGATAAAGTCGCAATTGAAGATATACTTGATCACTGACAGCAAACTCAAGCTCTCGATAGTGATAATCTACGTAATTATTGATTCGTGCTTGGGCTCGTGATAAGCACTGCTTCAACTGATTCATTGCCTCCTCCTGGTCACTCAACAATTGATCGATACATAATCTTGAAAGATTGCGGTACTGCAACAAGGTTGGCGGCTCCATCCCATACATAATTTTGAACGGAGTCTATCCAGCCGAACAGTTAAAATTATTGTTGAATCAATACTCAACTCATGAAAGCCATATACGCTTCTATCGTGGCTGATCACTAGCAAAACATTTGAGGTAAGTTTCCAACCCATGGTAGACTACCTCATACTGCATGGGATAAGAACTTGTTTGCTGCAGAGAAGTGCCCTAAAGTCGAAATTATTCCCATTAGAAGGTGCATAAGAAGATGTGATCCCTATTAGAAATAATGGAGTCTAGAATTCGGTGGAGTCGCACCGCATCACAATAAATATTTGAGTTATCTCTGCCGCAGTGAAGGGGTGTTGAAGGGGAGAAAAATGAGCCCCCTAGTTCAGGCAATCCACGATGATTATAATAAAATTATATCCTCGGGGATAGGCAATCCCTCGATGAAGTACATTGTCAGATCGGCCCAAATTTGATTACGACGTGGCAAAGGCTGAAGAAGGCTTGCAGGCAACAATGCCTCCAAATTATTACATTGACAGAGTGTATTCTGCCACATATGATCACACACTCTTCTTCATCCCTCTCCACTGCACATTCTTGGCGATCTATAGGTAAGCTTGATGGAAACTTGAGTGTCCTCCTGTAGTAGAGTTTTGGAACTCCCATAAGATCTACAAAATGAGCTTAGATGTAGGGGACAAGACCAATTTACCTATGTAAAATAGTTTTCTGTGCTGCAAGGAGTAGTGTGACCATTTCTCAGGTTACAGAGGTAGGTTGGTGAGAATTGTCTTGAGTTGAATCTCCTCCTGAATTTCCTTATCAATCTCTACTAAGTCCATTAGTTCTGAACATGACAAATTGGCTAGTTGGACTACACGGCATCCAGAATTTACGACAAGGCATCAGTGGTAATATTCTTAGTGCCCCGCTTGAATTTGATCTCAAATGTGAAGCTGGAGATCTTTGACATCCACTTTTGGTATTCGAGCATGGTTTATTGTTGATCTAATATATACTTTAAACTTTGTTGGTCACTATAAATAACAAACTTGTGCCCAAGAAGGACAGCGAGCAATTCCCATCAGTTCGTGTTCATAAATAGATTTTAATCTACCGATAGAGGTTAGTGCTTGGCTGAAGTACACAATGAGCTTTCTCCTTTGCATCAAGATGGCCCCAACTCCTCGAAGGGAGACATCTACCTCGAGCTCGAAGGTGGATGAGAAGTCGGAAAGAGTAAGGATTGGTACTGTCATTAAAGCAGTCTTCAAATCTTAGAAATCCTGTTTTGCTTCCACATTCCACCTAAAAGCATCCTTTTTTAGTTGCTGCATGAGGGGCCAAGCCTTGGTGCCATAATCCTTAATGGAGTGCCGATTATACTGTGTGAGCCCCAAGAACCCATGGAGCTCTTAGGTGCAGTAAGGGGACGGCCACTGCTGAATAGCCGCCACCTTGTCCTAGTCTACTGTGACTCCGTTTGCAGAGATCTAGTGACCCAAGTAAGCAATCTTAGATTGCCCGAAGGTACACTTCATGAGATTAACTTAAAATTGATTCAACTGCCAGATCTAAAATACTTAGAGCAAATGCCCATTGTGCTCGGCAACGCTCCGACAATAAACAAGAATGTCGTAAAAAAATATTAACATAAACCGACGTAGCAGGCTGTGGAAGATTTGGCTCATTATTACCTAAAAGGTGGTTTGAGCAGTAGAGAGGCCAAAGGGCATTACGAAAAACTTGTAATGGCCTTCGAGCATCTTAAATGTCATTTCCGGGAAGTCCTCTAGAGATACTCAAATCTTATGGTATCCGGACTATAAGTTCCACTTTGAGAAGACTTGTGTCGTGCAATTCGTCCATTAGTTCATCGAAAATGAGAATTGGGAAGCGTTTAGGTATGATGATCTTGTTGATCTCATGGTAATTCACGTAGAATTGTCACGACCCATCCTTCTTCCAGATTAGTAATGCTGGGCTTGAGAAAGGACTTTGAGCACGTTAGATTATGCATGATGCTAACATCTCTTTGACCCATTTTTTCAGCTGGTTCTTTTGATAGTAGAGGTATCAGAATGGCCTGACATGCACTGGTTTGGCCCTGGGCTCTAAAGGTATTGTATGATCCAAGCTGCAACTTAGAGGAAGACCCTTGAGATGTATAAAAACCTTTGAAAATCGTTGTTGCAAATTCTCTTCCAACAGAGGACCCTCTTCCAATTCTAACAATGATAATAGATATAATTGGACATAAAGTTCTCCTTGTCGAACATGTCCCACTATAGATTGGAGAGTGAGGGGTGTACCGAGTTCTGATGCTTTGGCCTGTAGGATAACACATTTTGCTTTGACTTGGAAGGAGAGGGACCACTCTTTGAAGTCCAATTCGATCTTCCGGTGGCCCTTCATCCATCGGAGGGCCAGGACCAAATCAAATGTTGCCAAATAAAGAATCAAGAAGTCTTCGCTAAGGCTAAATACTAGTAGGTCAACGATGACGGTGCAACAGGCTTTTATTTTGGGCACCGTCTCCCATTCTTGTGATGACCCGAAAGCCTGCTGTTTTTGTCACCGGAAGATTTAATTCCTACACCAGACTACTGCCGATGAAGTTGTGAGTTGCCTCTTCGTCGACCAGGATGGTCACTGATTGACCACTGACTTCTCCCCGAAATTTCATTGATCTGTTGAATCCGTCATCGGATAAAGAGTTCGGACACTTCAAGGTGCATCATGGCCACCTCATTTTCTTCCTCCACCACTGGTTCTTCATCTGCGGCTGCAAATTCTTGTGAGAAAGCAAAGTGAGCAGGGGTAAAAAGAATGAAAAAATCCTTTCCACGCTGGTGGCTCGATGAGAATATGTGGTTGCAGTGGAAGCATAAGCCTTAAGCTCTACGAGCTTAAATATCTGCGGCAGTCAGATTCAACTTTTTTTTCTTTCTGCTGGCTCTGCTGGAGCCGTGACTGAAATCCCAGACCGAGGTCTACTCTCTTCTGTCTTGCAGAACATGCTGGACTCGGGCGCTCTGGGCTTGCGGACTTCATAATTTGAGGTCGCCCCCTTCGGAAGGTCGAACCGCTCGGGGTCATCCCGAGGACCCCAGCTCCACCAACGCACAGATCTTCCATTTCATGCGCTGTGCAGCAGCCATGATTTCCTCTAATCCTGTCGGATTGAGGGCGTAGACCTCCGCCTGAACGTCCTTGTCGGATTGTGCTGTCCTTGCCGAGGCCTTTGAGCAAGGCGGCCTCGAGTATGTCTTCGGGCACATTTCTTATCACCCCTGAGAGATGCTCAAAATCTTCCCGGTATTCTTCGAAAGATCTTTTTTGCAAAATTTCCAGCAGTTGTTGACACATGACATTATACTGCATTGCTCCGAAACGCCCCAAGAGTTCTTGCTTCAGCTCTTCCCAATTTCTGAACGGTCATCGCTCTTCAGCCCAACGGAACCAATGGAACACTCGTCCCTCCATGCAGAGGATGGTCTCTGTCAGTTTCTCCAGAGCGCTGCCAACCTGTAGGTGAAGAAATAAATCTCTGCTCGGAAAATCCAAACATCTGTGAGGAACGGATCTTTGGAAGTGCCAATGTTTACACATTTCACACTGTACATATATAATTGACGAGGTTGCGAGCTTGTGTAACCATCTGCCCCAGATAAAATCCATTCTCCCTGAAAAATTACAATCCAATCGAAAGGGTTAAAGGCATGTCTGTGGTCGAAAACAGAGCACGCCAAACCAAATCAGTCCTAACAAAACAAGACCAGAAGAGGATCGCAGAGCAGCAGCAAAACTCTACCGGATGAGAAGTGGCGTAAACTAGATGTTCCGCAGCATGAAAAAAAGGATAAAACAGCAACATAAGCTGACCACACGTGACTTTACAGGGATGTCGAGAAACCCATATTACACACTCACTCTTGGTGCTGATGTAGGAACATTCTAACCAAGTACTCGAGTTTATTCGATTCCATAAGTGGATTAAGTAATAGAAATTTTAGACGGATCCTAAAAGTTCAAAGGCTACAAAGACATTTAAATGTGTAGGCAGATCCTATTTCAATGACCACCCATGACCAGCAAAAGGACCAGACAAAAAGGACCGAACCTGTTCTGGATACTTAAGATCTTGATTGAGATTCTAACCAAAAAAAACAAAGGATAATAGGTCCAAAAGAGACTTGGACTGGTTAGCCTCAAGAGAAAAGGGCGTCATCCGAACTTTCACTAATGGAGACTGATTAAGTCGAAATATTAAACAACTAGAATGAAATGCGCACATCTGAAATGAAACGACTTACCCCTCTAAGCAGCACATATGTCACGTTAAGGAGTTCCTAGAAACTTGACATTTTAATTACTTAAAATGACATTATGATCTTCCTAATTAAGAACATATACAGTATATAAAAATTAAAATAAATTATGTACAAAATGTTCAAACCATTGTGCAACTATAAAAACGGAATAAGGTGCACACCAGGATAATATGAGAAAGAGGAGTTAGTATGCATGTAATAACACAAAAAATATGTAAATGTAGTAATGCAATAGCATCAACAGGGACGAAAAAACCATATCATCCATTGACATGTGGTAAAAGACCTAGCTGGATTAGCTGAAAGATTGACAATTCATTGGCAGAAACATAGTCTTTCTTATTCTTGCCACTCTACTAGAATGACTGAATCGATTAGATAGTAGAATTAGTCATGTAGAAAGTCCCCAAGAGAACTATCACAAGGGTAACCGTCAGCACCCTTGAGCCCCTAGCACGGCAACTCATCAAGCCCCTGTAGTTCAAAATAAACCCCCCCCCCCTTTCCGCATCAGATGTAAGATAATATCTAATTAAATTTCAAAATTTATCTCAAAGAATATGATTTTATATACTTTTTGGACTAAACAATTATAACAGAAATATATTTAAAAATTAGAGAAAAAGAGAAAATTCAAGAAGCTAACATAAATGCTCAAAGAATGATGATTCCAACAAAAATAAAGTTCTGCCTGGTTATTATTACATAAACGATTGTAAATGATTCAATTAATAAAATTGAAGTCCATAAATGATAAACGAATTATAACAGACTAAATAAAAATTTTGAAACTTGAATTTATGATAACTGTCATTAATTTAAATATTAAATAAGTTTAAAATAAGAAAAATAGAGTCATGACTTTGCACTGACAATTCCTTGAATTTTATAAGTTTGAAAATTTCTAAAGGGTGTTTATGACCTCAAAGGCTCTCTTTAGATGTGTTTAGTCATAAGCACCTTTTAAATTTACATTTGAAGTCTAGAGGGCGAAGGTAGGGGGTGGCGATGGGTCTTTAGTGGTTATCACCCAATAGAGCTAAAGTTTGATGAAGATGGGTCTTTAGCAATTGTCACCTGATGGAGTTGAGCTTGATGGAGATACAATGCATCTAAGAAAGCTTCACATTCAGGTTTGTGCAGCAATAAGAGGCTCTTATCATATTTGGAATGCTATAAAGAGACTCTTGATAGAAAATTATATATTTTCTATCAAGAGGCTCCTATTGTATTTGGAATGCTACAAGTCTCTTGATAGATCATCTTATTCTCAACAATGACATATTCGTTGACCAATCGGACATAATTTTCTCAAAGAAAATATAATTTTTATATTTAAAATCCTTGGCCAATTGTTAATAATGATCCACAAATATTGTTGACAAAGTTTTCATTGATGACCGAGTGCTTTTGACATCTCAATCTTTGACCTATAGTATGTAGGAAATTTTAGAATCAGAACAAATAAAAATTGTGAATTTTGGTATTGGTGAAACTTGAACCTTATCTTGTTGCATGGTAACATGAGAGAGAAGCAATTAATTACCAAAATACCCTTACAACATTGGACATATGACCACATTATCTTCTCATAATTTAGGGATAGATTCAACGTTATTTTGTCAATATGGTTCAACCATCATTTAGTCCAACATTAGTTCTATCTAAATGTTTGAAACAAATATAAGTTTGTACCTCCTTGTGTGTTCTAGTTCTCTCTCTAGAAACATAATGGCTAGGACCCCCTAAGGAGAAGGCCCCATGAAATCAAGTGGTCCGTCCCCCCATACGCATGTGTGTACAAACATTCCTTGCCCCACACCTAATTAGCCCTTGGTGGCATGGAAGGAGAGTGACACATATGTTCTACGTGGGTTCCTTAGCTACTCAAGCCCAACTAGTGGCCCCTTGACTATGCTTTCCACTCGTGTGCAATGCCCTCTAAGTGAACTACCGAGTGTTGACTAGTCAGTGAATCCCTTTTTTTTATTTTCTATTTTTATATATTTTTATTTTAACTTAAAGAATGAATATAAAAATAATACAAAATCACATAATTAACCAAAACTTCAAATTATTCACATAAAAACATTTTTCTTAATTTAACTCAAATATAAAACTATTTATCATGAATTAATATGTAAAATATACCATTAACTAATTATTAACTCATAATAATAAAAACTTATTAATAAGTATTTGAAAAATTACATGGTTATGAGTTGATTAGTAGTACCCCAAATGATTGATGACATCACATGTACAAACCAGGTCTCCAACCTTGTTTTTAAGTTGCCGATGACATTGAAGACTTCTAAGCTAGGGTTGTAAATGGGCGATACCTTATCCGCAGTGTTGCTCATGGTAGAGTCGATGAGGATCAAACCATCCCAACCTAGAACAGTGAAAATTATGATTTTTGAGAGAATCGACAGCTGTGCCTAGGATCATTCTACCTGAGCTAGGAACAGTGATGATGACTAGTACCATGCTTACCCTAACACAGCAATCATGGAAATACACACGCCGAAATCCGGCAGCAGCCCATTGCGGCATCTGGAGGCCTTGTTGACTTCCTCTCTCACTATCGTCTCGGCAT